TATATATATATATATATATATATATATATATATATATATTATTGAAAGACCGATAGTTATCTGGGTTATTGCTTTAATTTGTTTATTCGAAAAAAACGTCAAAAAAGAAAAAACAACATTAAATAATATATTCAAATAAAACATCAAAATTATTAAAAGATTTTTAAACTTTCAAAACAAAGATAAATAAATACAAATAAAATAATAATAATAATTTGATTTTATATAATCTAGATAATTGATTTAAAAAAATAAAACTAATATTATAAATAATCTATATTAATTCAGCTAAAATAAGGATAAAAAACAATATTTTCTACATATATAATAATAATAATAATAATAATAATAATTATAATTATTATTATATATATATTAAAGTTATGAAAAGTTTTAACAGTAAAGTGGCACCGTTTTTTGTCAATTTTGGTCCTCCAACTTACAACATTGACCCTTCATCTTTATGCTTTTGTTCACAAACAACCCTTTCATTTTGGTTTGAAACTTTCATAACCCTCGCCTTTTATTACATATTATTAGTATTTAGTCTTTTGGCAGAAATGGTCCCTCATCATTATTATTATTATTGTTATACAAAATTACACGATTGGTCCCTGTGGTTTACCAGATTTAACATTCTCTTTTTGGTTTTAAATTAATGTTTTATTTATTAGAAAATACCCACCAAATACCATAAACCCACCCACCATCTGCCATCACCACCACCACCACCACCGCCAAAATTACATAAATGGTCCATATGGTTTACCCATGGTGACAAATTCAATCCCTACTACCTGAAAAAACCAAATTACCCTCACATTAACGGACAAAAAACAACCAACATGCTACTTTACTTTACAAAACAATACCTTCCGACCCCGGCAACGCCGGGGAATCTTTTCTAGTTATAATAATAACAATAATAATAATAATAATAATAATAATAAACTGTTAAAAGAAAATATAAAAAGAAAGAAAGGGTAATTTGGTCTTTTTATATGGAGCAATGACCTATAGTGCAATATTCACAAACCACATGTAAGCTATTAAATTTTAAACTTAGGGACCAAAACTACGAATTTGATCAAGCTATAGGGACCATTTCTGTAATTTATTCTTTCAAAAATTAACTAAAAAAGTGCACCGTTCAGCCCTCATTAGTTTAAAAATAATGGGTCTTTATAAATTGGAAATGGAATTTGGTCTTTATTTCTCATTGTATATATTCTTTGTATATATTCTTTTGTGGTGTTTAAATGAGAGTACATATATTATTCCATTACTTGCTACTAAGAAATTATAATAGCATAAATACTAAACAAAATTTCACAAATGGTCCCTGTGGTTTATGAGAAATGGAACTTTCAGGATATCCTTGTAAAGTGTTTCATCGGCGCTCCTGGTGGTTTAAAAATCAAACATCGTTAGTCATTTTGGCTAACTATGTTAAAAATCAAGGTTAAATTGTAACACCATGATTTTTCATCCAGAAGTTTTCTTTTATTTTTAAAAGAATTTAATCAAAAAATGTTACCGGAAGTCTTATTAAGAAAAGACCACCAGTGTTACTTGAAAATCTTTCATAAAAACCCTTCATAATTCAAAGTTGTAAAATTTGAAGCAAACCAAATCCTAAACCAAATGTAAATGAAACATGACATCAAGTCTCAAACTGATATCATCACTAGTATCGAAACAATAACTATCCAAAAATTCTAACCTCACCAGACCATCAATGCCAAGCTACCTGTACCAATGCCAAAGCCACAACAACACACAAGAACACAAGTGTCAACATCAGCACAGTGAGTCAATCTCAACCAGGTAGCATGGAAACAAAGCATACATGTATGTTATGTTAAATCATGCAATCACATCAATCCATTCCTCAATCATCAATAGTTACTAATATATAGTTGCACATATTAATCTTGACATTCTTTTTTCATCGTAGTAATTATTAATTTATTTTCTTCATTGTAATTACTATTAATGTCACTCGCTAACTAGGGTCTAATGCATCACTAAACTACCCAACGAAGACCCTATTCGGTACTAACGTGACCTAACAACCCAGTGCATCACATGAGACACGACTCCTACTCGTAACAATGTCTCTGGTTCTCCGTCCTTGCTACTCTGACTATGAATGTACAACACGATGCGTTTTCATTTGTGGGTGGTACACGATACCTCCATGAGCATACCTACACTCAAACGAGATGTTTGTACATGGCATCAATGATCGCCGACATCACTCTAGTCCCAGTACACTAACGTGCACCAGAACCATGTTCCGAGATGGTTATCTTGACAACCACTCGACATCAACTTGGATTAAGCTCTTTTCCTACAACGATATCCTTCCATCGTGATATCCCATAATGACACGTACATAAGTTAGGTTACTACCCTTTTACCCCTGCTATGTGTGTTCCCTTTTTTACTTTAATTAAATGTATGATTAATTAATTCACTCATATGGGCAAACACACATCTCAACAATATCATTATGTAATCATGCTTGTTAATTATTATCAATTAATCGATGGCATAGTACATCTCATATCAAAAATCAAAGGTATACTCACATAATTACCACAAAACATTATATATTAACATATAGAGAGTTACACCTTTTGACAATCAACTTATAACATGCATCTCCTAGTTCCATTCAAGTGTGAGAAAACAAATTTCACATGCAAAACATCACAATTTAACAACATGTACAATCTCACCACTAACATATCCCTACTTCCTATCCTTATGTAATGTATGCTGATATTAGGAATTCTAACATACCTAGGGTTTCCTAAATCATTTATTTCTCTATATACTTCATATTATCAAATTTCATGCATATCATACTTTCCAGGTTATAGCAATACACAAACCAAATAGTCATAAAATAATAGCAGGCTAACTTTCCAATACAAGTGCCTAAACCACCACGAGAGATGACTCACCTCCAGTTCAAGGTATGTGAAGCAATAAATAGAGGAAAGACACCTTCAAACAAGTAATCTAACACCCCTAAAAGATTACACAAAGAGTTGATGAAAAAAAAAACATGAAATAAAAATGGTTCTGTCCAGAGCATTCCTACATCATGGCCAAGAAGGTGCCACGTCATGAGCCAAACATTTATCACAATCTAGCCGATCTGGTTCCGTCGCCATGACGTGACATATGGATGATCACGTCATAAGAACTGATTGTTGTAGTTTTGAAGAAACCGATTGATCTCTTCCTTCTGCTCAACTTAGGTCCGATGAAAACCTTAATTAAGATGATCTTAACCCCTCAAGACCATTTCCAAGTGACTAGAATGATTGAGACAAGAATGGTGTTGGGACATGATTTGTGGTTTATACTTTACTTTACATAGCTTTTAAAGTTCTCGGTCTAGGACCGAAACACCATGAATTCGGTGTTGTTTTGACCGAAATCATTAACAGATTTCGGTTGGGCTTTGGGCTGAGCCTTTGTAATTAGGTCTAGGTATATATATAGTATTGTTTTAGCCGTGTCAGTGGTTTGTCATTCTAGTTGATTGATTTCGAGATTCTGAGAGAGACAGAGAGAACCGAGAAACATAGAGAGTCTTATGTACTAGACTATTGATTAGTATAGTGTGCATTGAAGATTCATCA